GAAAAAGAACTGATGCTGTTGAGCTGTGGTGTTGAAGAAGAGCACTGAACATCTCATGGCAGTCCAAAAGAATGAACAGATATGTTTTGGAGATGGTGCAGCCTGACTGCTCTTTGGAGGCAAGGTTGAGGCTTCACCTCATATATTTTGGACATGTTGCAATGATGTGCTATTCCTTGGTGAAGGACATGATATTGGGAAGGGTGGAGGATCAGCAAAGGAGCTCCTCAACCAGGTGGACTGATAACAGTGACTGCTGCAATGGGCTCTTTTGTGTCAGGAAACATGAGGATGGTGCAGGACAGGACAGAGTTCAGATCTTTTCTTTATAGTGTTGCTATGAGTTGTGCTCGACTCAATGGCACCAAACAACAGCAACAACAATTCATTTCTTTACTTTCTGCCAAATTTTTTTTTTACATTTTTATTGTATTATTTTAACGTGTACCGTCAAATCAGATCTGACTGGTACAGGAGGAGATTGCCCCCTCCTTCTCCAGCAGAGCATCTGGTGGATTTGAACCACGTACCTATGGGATTGCAGTGCAGCGTCTTGCCACTAGGCCACCAGAGCTCCCTAATCTGCCAATTTTTAAGTTGTTCATAGCGAATCATTTTGACTCTTGTAATTTCTCAAACAATCAATGTGTCTTTGTTTCCCCAAATACACAATGAGTTGTTAACATTAGGTGCTATTAGGTAAATTTAATTCACAGTAATCCACGTACCACAGAATAAAAAACCTGCTTAATCTTACACTTCCGTAAACTCCATGAACTTGCAGAAACAATGAAAGTTATACAAGTGTTCAGGTCTTTTGTTCATAGGGTTGCTATGAGTTGTCTACAATTCAATGGCACTTAACAACAACAACTAGTCTTGTACCATCTTCACAACCATTGCTATATCTGAACTATTGTTTCATCATGCTGTCAATCCAATTTGTTGAGCGAGTCTTCTTTTTTGCTACTACTTTTTTCTATCTACTTTATCAAGTATAACCTCTTGGTAACATGTGCAAAGATGTGAAACAAATTCTTGCCATCAGAGCTTTTCAATATGGATTTGCCCATTTTTCTAACATTCCATGGTACATTTAATATTCCTCACCAACACTATTAATTCAAAGGTATCAATTCCTCTTCAATCTTCCTTATTCACTGCCCAATTTTATACGTGTAAGAGTTGAATGAAAATACCATTGCTTGGGAAAAGGTGTATTTAGTCCTTAGAGTGGCATCTATGCTCTTTTTTTAATTGTAATTTTAACTAAAGTTTACAGAAAAGTTTGAGTTTCATTCATTCATTCTTGGACATTTTCCTCCCTACCCCACCCAGTTCACTTTTTCTTTAAAAAAAGAAAAAATCATTCATGGTTGCATAATTTCCTCTATCCCTCCCCCCACCCCCCCAGTTCTCTTTGCTATGCATACAAATAATGCCTGCAATAGCAAAGTTCAACAGAGCAGCAAACAACAAATGCTGGTGAGGTGGTAGAGAGATTAGAACTCTTATTCACAGCTGGTGGGAGCGTAAAATAGTACAGTCACTATGAAAGGTGGTTTGGCACTTTCTCAAAAAGTTGGAAATAGAAATATCATTTGACGGAGCAATTCCACTACTAGGAATATGTTCTTTAACACTTTAAAGAGATTCTTTGCAGCAAATATGCCCAATACAAGTAGCTAATTTCTTGACTGCTGCTTCTACAAGCATCAACTGTTGATCCCTGAAAAGAAATCCCAGGAAAGGTGTCAAAGTATGATGCAGTCAATCATGTATATTCACTGGCTCACGCAAACATACTAAGATTCCAAGGATTACTATAAGGATCCCTTATAAACTTTCTTTTGGGGCTTTCTGGATTGGCAAAACACTCTTGCAAGGAAGAGGGTATACAATAATCCTGGAGAAAATACAATACTTGTATTGGGATCTCTCCTCAGTCTTGCCTGATGTGCCCTCGTTTGTATCCTTTATGGTTATAAAAACTGGGTAACTACAATTACAGATAATATTGCTATATGCCCTTCTGTCAAATACGAATCATTGTTGTTCATTACTATTGAGTCAGAACAGATTCATAGCTGACTCTTCTAAGAGGCTGTAAAAACAACAAAGAAAGAGATTATCTTTCTTACATAGAGTAGCTCATGCATTCAAACTACCTGCCGTTGGCTGACAGCAAAATCCTTATTCACTAGGCACTAGAACTCCCTACAATTCAAAGTGATGAAGAATAAATCAGAACGTGTCCAAATCCTGCATCATCCTTATAATCTCCAACATATTCAAGTACGTTGTTACAGTGTCTGTCAATCTATCGTGTTAAAGGTCTTCTTAGCTTTCTCTGACCATCCATCTATCCCAGGATGATGTCTTTTTCCAAGGACTGAGCCCTCCTGGCAAAATGCTCAAAATATGTGTGACAAAGTTTCACCATCAATGCCTTTAAGGAACACCTTGGTAGCACTTCCTTTAAGCAGATTTGTTAGTTCTTTTGAAAGTCCATGAGTTATTCATTAATTCTTTTCTGACATCACAAATCAAAGGTATTATACCTTTCTTGGACATCCTTGCATTGTCTAACTTTGAGATACACAGGAAAAAATTTCATGGTTTGGATAAGGTACACCTTAGTCTTTAAACTGGTATCATTGATCTTTAGTAGTTTGAAGAGGCTCTTGAAAAATTTTACCAATAGAACACATCTTTGGGATCTTGACTGCTGCTACCCTGGGTTCTGATTGTGGATTCAAATAAAATGAAATTGTTGACAATGTCAATCTTTTTTTTCCATTTATCATCATGCTGCCTATTGATCCAGTGGTGAAGATACTTGTTTCCTTGATAGTGAGATGCAATCCATATAAAAAGTAGTATTCTTTGATTTTCTTCAATGTTTGACATCTTCTTCACTTTCTGTATGCAAGGTTGTGTCATCTGCATAATGCAGATTGTTAATAAGTCTTCCCCAACTGCTGACACATTTATTTGCATACAGTCCAGCTTTTTAAATTATTTGTTCAGCATACAGATTAAATAGGTATGGAGAAATTATATAACCCTGATATATATCGTTTCTGATTATGAAGCATGCAGCCTCCCTTGCTTTGTTCAGACAACTACTTCTTATGTATAAGATTTGCATACGCAAAATTAAGTGTTCTAGAATTCCTATTCTTCTGTACGTTATCCATAATTTGTTTTAACCCACACAGTACTATGTCTTTACACTGTCAACACAATGCAAGTAAACATCTATCATGGTATTCTCTACTCTCTATCAAGATCCATTTGACATCAAAAATCATATCATTCATTCAATGGCCTTTTCTGAATACAGCTTGCATTTTCATAGCTACCTGTCAATGTACCATTTCAAACCGTATTTCATAATCTTCAAGATTTTAATTGCATGTGATAGTAATGATATTGTTAAAAATAATATATACACTGTTGAATCACCTTTTTTGAAGAATAGGAACAAATATAGGCCTCTTCTAGTCAGTTTGCCAGATACTTCTCATCCAAATTTTTTTGGCTAGACAAATGAGCACATTCAGGGCAGCATCTGTTTGTTGAAACATCTTAGTCAATATTCCATCTATCCTGGGGTCTTATTTTTTGGCAATGTGTAGATTGAACTTCTTCCTTCATTACTAGTGATTCTTGATGATAAGCTACTTTCTGAAATTGTTTCATGTTGATAAAATGTTTTTGGTACAGTGACTGAAAATGCCTTCTACTTTCTTTCGATGCTTCCTGCATAATTCAATATCTTGCCATACTACTTATATTGTTATAAAATTGAGAAAATAATGATTACAGGAAATGGTCTGTAAATTTTGTGAGATATTACAGTGATTTAGAGGGGGCAATGAGCAAGCAAGTAGCAGCAGAATAGAGTCCTAACTTGTGTAAACTCAACTCTAAATGTCTGGTAGTCAGGGAATAGATGACACAGGCAATTGATTAAGGATAGAAAACTTCTACCTTATGACTTAACCTTAGCAGGATAAAGAAAGAGAGGCCAACTGGTCTCACGTGTAGAGAGTTACGCAGACTTAAAAGTTTATAACTGGCACCAAATTATTTGGCTTTAGTTGGCTAGAAATGTTCTGACCTAGCTCAGGTGACCAGAAATGAAGTCTGATGTAACTGTAGGTTGTTAAGATAGAAAAACAACAAGGCAGGTAAAAAGAATCCTAGAGATATGAGAAGGTGAGGACTGATTCCATTTCGATGAGAAGGTGCAGCCTGAAACCATTTCTAAGTGGGAACTGGATTCACTGTGATATTTATTATGTAATTACGAACAATGGTAGGACTTGCTTACCATGCCCATCTAGTAATGCATTGGTACAGATGGACAAGGACCTAATTATAGCTTCATTGACAATGCATCAAATTAAAAACAAAATAGGACAAACAACAAGAAAACCAATCAAAGTCTTTGGGGGAGAGAATATTTTCTATTTTAGGGCATTATGTTTATCGTAAGAGTATGGAATGAGGGTTGCAGAGTGGATTATATTTGGGGTTGCGGGATGTGTGGGGGGATTGCGTACCAATGAGGGAGTTTTTCTTTTGCTTTTGAAGGAGAGGAGCAAACAGTGGGGGGAGGGGGGGAGGGTGCAACAGTGAATGAATGGAATTCCAGAATCTCTGTAGATGTTCACTGAAATGAAAAATAAATAAATTTTAAAAAAAAAGAAAACCAATCAAAAAACTTGTATTTATGAAGAAGTTTTATAATTTGTAAATATTTCTACTTCATTATTTTTTCCTTTTATATAGCACATTGTTTCAAATGATAGTGGGGGGGAAGATAATGAAAACAAATATATATTTTGTATAAAAAATGTTTTCAATTATAGAAAGGGATTTATTATTAGTGTTTCCTTAAATTGATAACATAAGGTTCTAAAACTACTATAATCAGACATTGCATCATTTCTTAGTCATTTAAAAGATTACTATCAATCATATATACTCACCACACTGAAATCAAGGTTTTCTTCAATCCATTTTTGCCCATCTCGGAATTCATCATGAAGTCCCATGATATAAAGTGTATCCAAAGCATCTACTATAGTGGCACCCATTTGTGAACTGCCTAAATTTACAGTGGGGGGGAAAAATCTGTCATTAAGAAAAGTCCTTTATATAAGATACATTTTAATTGCACATCTGTCTTTATGTGTTTATATAAAATCAAAATAATTCAAGGACAGAGACCACTTTTTAACTCTAACAGAAAATACAGATAATGTAACAGTCTTCCCTAAAGACAACACAATGATAACAGTAATTTAAAGGAAACTAGAAGGGCTATAAACTGACATTTCATTTTTCTATTGAAGAGTTAGTCTTCAGGAAGTTCCTAGAACATACAAGAGCACCTTGTGACATAAACCACATGTGACCAAGACAATACAGAAACAACAGCATGTTAATGCAGTCAGTCAGTCATGTGGATGATTTGCATTCTCAGAGGACAAATAACTCATCTGTTTGCTGTCAGTATTTCTTTACTACATTCCTAGATTTGCTTTGCCAGTGTTTGATTTTAAATTCTTACAGTTATGTTTATTAGTATATCTGGTCTGTTTTCATGGCTTTATACTAGTCTTCTAAAATCAAACATATGGATTTGGGCTTGAATTATTTTTTGGTTTTTGTTATTGTTGTTTGGAGAGGTGGTGCTCAGAGGAGAAATAAAAATCCTTTAGAGTTGAGAGACTTCCTTTCTAGTGCTAGTCTGCTAAATTTTTAATTATAAATGGATACTGAATATTGTGAAAGGATTTTTTAACATCCACTAAGATGGTTGTAAAGTTTTCTTTTACCCCTTTAATAACTTTAATTGTATCAATTTCTTTTCAAATCTGAAACCAGCTATGTATTTATGAGTTAAATCCCACTTGATCACAATGTATTATCCTTACATACTGATCAGTTAGTAAAGATTCTGGTTGAAACTCTTGCAAACAGTTAACATCCTATGCTAATCAAAAGGTAGAAGACTCAAGTCTGCACACAATTTCCTTGGCAAAAGCCTAATGAGTGTTCTACTCATTAAAAAATCACAAACTATAAAAACTCATCCAAACCAAACAGTTGTTGGTTTCACAGCATTATAGACTAAGCATTTAAGAAAAAAAGGGGGGAAACCAATTATAGCAAACATTTAAGGAAAAATTATATATAAATTATACATAAATTATATATTAATTATATATTTAGAAAATCTCTCTCTCTCTCGCTCTCTCTCTCTATATATATATATGTGTGTGTGTGTGTGTGTAACACATATAAAAAACCAATTCTAGTTATTCTCTTCCACAAAAACCTGAAAAGCAGGGAACACTTCTGCATTTTATAAGATCAGCACTTAACTTGCCTAATACCATAACAAGACAACTACAGAACAAAACATATGGAATGGAAAATACTTACCAAAAGAAAATATTAACCAAAATACTGTAACAATACAGAGAAAAAAACATTTTGCAAAACTAAGTACAAGCTACTTTAGGAATGAACCAGACTAAAGTTCAACATTCAAAATCTCAACTGAAATTCAATTACAAGATTAGTTTAAAAAAGAAAGCATATCCATATGATCATATTGTTACAGAAAAAGTATGAGTATTTGATAAAATATCCATTCATATTTTAAAACTCTAAAAAAAAATAAGGAAACATTCTCAAAGCTGAAAACAAAGGAAATAAAACAAAAAACCCTGCATTTAATATCACACTTAATGATAAAACTGCTTTCTCAACTCTGGAATAAGGCAGAGATGTTAACTTTCATGATGCAATATAGTACTAGAAGTCCTAGCTAGTGCAGTAAGTTAAGAATAAAAAAGGAGGTGGGATAAACATACAGAACTTCATATCGTAAATAGCAGGGTTATTTATATTTTAAAAAAATAATCCACCTATTTAAAAAAATATTCCTAATATTATGAGTTTAGAATTCACGCAGAAAACAAATATGCACATGCAATCAGTATTTCTATATTGTAGCAATGAACATTTGGAAACTCAATAGGTCTGGAGAATGGATGTAACACTGACGGATACCTATCTTGATTTTAGATCATGCAGTGTTGCCTTAACCTGTTTTAACAACATCTTCTTGGTGTAGGTGTCAGTTTAGCAGACAGACAAATTATGGGTCCTAAGATTCCCATTCTTCTCAAAGTTATCTATGATTTGTTATGATTCACAAAGTCAACCACTGAACATGAACCAATTCTTTCAGTACTTGTGGCTCAATATATTCTTGTTGTTTTCTTTTAATGCTCCCTGAATTATTCAATATTTTGCCCATAAATTCCTTCAGTATAGCGATGTGAAGACTGAATGTATTCTTCAATTTTTTTTTAGCTTGAGAAATGCCGAGTACATTTTTCTCTTTTGATTTTCTAACCCCAGGCCTTTGCACCTTTCGCTATAATATTTTGCTCTGTCGTCTCAAACTGCACTTTGAAATTTTCTGTTGCGCTCTCTTATTTCATTATTTCTCCCTTTCACTTTAGCTTATCTACATTCCACAGTTAAGTTTTGGCCTCTCTTCTGACAATTATTTTGATTAAGAACATAGAAAGGCCAATAAAAAGATGAGAAAGAAAGAAAAGACTAAAAATACTATACTAGACACTAAGAAAACGATAATAGAAAAGATATTTATGCTTCTCTATGTGACCCATGTTGCTAGAAAGGGCTATTCCTTGGAGAAGGACATGATGCTGGGAAGGGGAGGGGGGTCAGCATTGAAAAGAAAGACCCTCAATCAGGTGAATTGACACGGTGACTGTTGCAATGGGCTCTTGTGTATAGAGAAGTGTGAGGATTGCACAGAACAGAACAGGGTTTAGATCTTTTGTTCATAGGGTAGCTATGAGTCATACCTGACTCCATGCTACCCAACAACTATATGACACTTTCAGATTTATATCCTTAATTAAATCAAGGAATGTGCACTATACTTATTTTGAAAAACAAAATACTGTGCTATTGTTGTTACATGCCATCGAGTTGACTACGATTCATAGCTATAGTGATACTATGAACAACAACTCTGACTCCTCCCCTATTTGGAGCCAATCTCACTATCTCTGACAATCCCATTCCTTACCCCAGTTACTGTGTCAATCTATCTCATCCAGCGTCTTCCTCTTCTACACTGTCTCTCCATCCTTCCAAGCATCCTTCCCTTCTCCAAGATCCTGACAACATGCCCAAAGTATGTAAAATGGAGTTTTAAAATCCTTCCTTGATTGCAAGGAGCAACTTGGTTTAACTCACTCAAAAACAAATCTGTTTATTCTCTTGGCAGTCCATGGTAATGTTAATACTCTTCTCCAGCACTACATCTCAAAGACATAGATTTCTACTCTGTCATTCCTAGTCATTGTCCAGTTTTCTGATGTGTAAAAAGTATCTGTGAAGACCATAGCTTGTATCAGGTGCACTTTAGTCTCTAGGCTAACATCACTGCTCTTCAGCACTCTAGAGAGGTCTCTGACAGCAGATTTTCCTAATGTAATTCATCTTCTCATTTCCTGACTGCTGGTACCAAGAACGTTCACTGTGGATCAGAAGAAGCTGAAGTTGTTAACAATCTCAATATCTTCTCCATCATGGTTCTGTCAATGGCCCCAGTGGTGACAATCTTTGTTTTCTTGATGTTGAACGGCAATCCATAATGAAGACTGCAGTCTTCGACCTTCTGCAGCAAACGTCTCGAGTTCTTCCCAGTTTCAGAGAACAAGGTTGTGTAATCTGCATAACAGAGGTTGGTGATAATTTTTCCTCCAATCCTAATGTCATATTCTTCTTCATAAAGTTAAGCCTCTTGAATGATCTGTTCCGCATACAGATTCAAAAGGTAGGGAGACTAGATGTATCCTTATTCACTCCTTTCCTGAACCATGCTGTGTTTCCTTGCTCTATTCTGACAACTGCCTCCTGGTCCATACACAATCCAGTGTTACAAGATTCTCACTCTTCTCAAGTTTAGCCACAATCTGTTGTGAGCCACACAGTCAAATGCCTTTGCATTGCCAATGAAACAGAGGTAAACATTCCTCTGATACTCTCTGATTTTGGCCAAGATCCATCTGACATTCGCTATGATGTCTCTAATGCCTCTTCTAAGCAGCTTACATGTACTGTTACAGTCATTTCTAGAAAATAGTCAGGATTTTGTTTGTGTGTGCTATTAGTGATACTGTTTGATAGTTTCCATACTGTTGGATCACCTTTTGTTTAAATGAGAATAAATAAGGATCTCTTCTAGTCAGCTGGTCAGGTAGCTGTCCTTCAGATTTTTTGGCACAGCCTGGTGAGCATGTCCAAGCCTGCATCTATTTGCTGAAGTATGTTAACTTGTATTCCATCAATTCCTGGGGCCTTGTTTTTCCCAATTCCTTCAAAAGTAGCTTCAGACTTGCCTGTACTTGCCCCAAAATGTCCTGCCTGTACCCACAGCAGACAACCCGCCTGCAAGCATCTCAACCAATTTGTGCCCCCACAGCTAGACAACCGGTGTTTGTTTTGCCCCCACCCCACCACCAGCCTGCCCAGAGTGCCAACATCATTGGGAAACAAAGATAAGGAGCAGACAGAAGTGGCTGGAGGTTTAAGCCATCAAATCAGGGATTACTTGTGAGGAGGGCTGAGAGAGGTGCTGACAGGGTGAGGAGGGGGCATGCTAATGGGGTGGGGGAAAGGAACTGAACTGAAAGGGAAGGTGGGACCAAAACAGAATCTGTTAGTTGTATAATGAAGAAGGGTTTATCATTTGCTCTTTTAGGTAAACTGCTTGCCTGTCAGATATTGTTATAAAGCTGACCATCCAATTTAAACCAGATTAGGAAAAAATGGCCACCTACTTCCAAAAGAATAGGTCTTCAAAAACCCTATGTACAACAGAGAACACTCAGATCAGACTGGTAGATATGGTACCAGTGGCTGAGCCCTCTTAACAGGAAACACAAAAAAAGGGCAACAGTTGCAAGCAGACACTAGTTGGAATGTGGAAGGTGAGGATGGATGAATATAGGAAAACTGAATATTGTTAAGGAAGAAATTGAACTCTTA